CAAGCCGTCTTTGGTTCGAGTACCCTGACCGAAGATCCAGCTTGGAGAAGATCCGAGCATCCTTAAGCTGGTCAAAGAGGTCAGCAATCAAAGGAATAGGGTACTTGTTCTTTACGGTTACCTTGTTGAGTGCACGGTAGTCAATGCACATCCTCAACGACCCGTCCTTCTTCTTTTGGAATAGAACAGGGGCTCCGTAGGGTGCCTTGGACGGCTGAATGTATCCTGCGTCCAGGAGGTCTTCTATTTGGCGTTTGAGCTCAGCTAGCTCGGGGGGAGCCATCCGGTAGGGAGCCATGGCAGGAGGTTTGGTCCCGGGGATGAGCTCGATCTGATGGTCTATCCCTCGTCTCGGAGGAAGCTTCTTTGGTAGCTCCTCGGGCATTACATCTGCGAAAGAATCCAAAACAACACGTACCTCGCTTGGGATAGGAGGTTGATCCGAGGATTCCGAGTCGTTCAAGTCTCGGATGGTGGTCAGGTAGCTATCCGAGTTCTTGACCCCTCTCTTGAACTGCATGGCCGAGAGAGTTGTGGAGTCTCTCGGGGCAGGTCGTAGTGGTATCACCGTTGGTTTGTCCCTGTCCAAGATCACAATAGAAGAAGTGGAAGCGGGAATGAAGGTACTTACCGACCTGAAGAAGGTAAGGCCGAGGACCACTCGGAAGTCGTCCATGGGCAGGACTGTGAAGTCCGTCTTCCCGATCCATTCTCCAATTTGGATCCTAACACCTCGGGCTACACCAATGGCTGCTTGAGCTGGGGAGTTCACGGCCTTGACCGATCCGCCATTCCCTTCTAACTTCAACTTGAGCCTCTTTGCTTCACCTACATCAAGGAAGTTGTGAGAAGCACCTGTATCAAACATGGCTGGAACGGACTTACCGTAGAGGAGAATGTCCGCATAGAGAAGGCCTCGGTTGGGAGATTCCGAGGCTAGAGCGTTCTCGGATGGGCTCGGTTTGGACATAGTCCCGAATTGATGGAGAGAGCCCACGCTGGCCGCCTCACTCTCGGTGACTTTGCCCTTGCCTTTGCCTTTGTCTTGTCTCGCCTCGGGTTGTGTCTCCATGGCATTGACCTTGCTTCTCTTGGGGCATTCTCGGACCCAATGAGGACCTCCACACACATAGCAAGGGTTAGGTGGTTTAGACTTCCCCCTTGCTTGTCCGGAGCCTTGGGTGTAGTTTGGCCGATTGGTTGGAGCTTGGTCTCGGTGTTGGTGTGAAGGCCGAGGTCTATTCCCATCCCTTGGTCGAGCTTGTTGATTGCTGGGTCTGTTGGAGTAATCCGGGAGACTCTCCACGACTGCAATGGCATCATTTAGGGTTCGGGAATCCCTCCTATTCACTTCCAAACGAGCAAACTCCTTTAGGCCATCTTTAAAACAAAAGAGAGCTTCACGATCAGAAATATCATTAAGCTCAAGAAGTAAAGCAGAGAATTCCCGAATGTAATCCGAGATACTCCCTGTTTGGCGAAGCCTACGGAACTTAGTCCGGGCTTCGTCCGCTGCGTTGGATGGAACGAAGTGCCGACGCAACTCCTCTTTGAATTGCGCCCAAGTGTCCACTCGTCGATCGCCTCTTTCTTGGTCCGCTAACACACGTCTCCACCAAAGCTGTGCTAAGTCTCGGAGATAAGTGGGAGCATGTCTCACACGTGAGTAGTCGTCCACGACACCGAGGCCATCGAAGTACTGCTCCATTGCGAAGATGTAGCCTTCAACCGCCGAGGCACTTCGGGTTCCATTGAAGAACGTTGGTTCGGGAACCTTGAAGGCCGGGTGGTGATGAACTTGAGCCGGGGCTGGAGCAGGGGCTGGCTGAGCTATGTCCCTGTGCAACCTACACTCAAGCTTTAGTTCGTTAATCAAATTACGCAGATTGGTTACCTCACGCTCGTGCGCTTCTCGCACAAGCCGGAAGTTCTCATCGTTCAAGCCTCGATCAATCCGTTGTTGTTGAGCCAAGTCCTCGAGCATCTCCTTGGTGTTCCCACCAATGGCTGAGATCTCTTGTTCTAGGTCATCCACACGTACGTCTTGATACTCAACAGCTCGGAGACGTTCATCCAAGCCCTCGAGCGTTAGCGTGGCTTGAGGGGCGTCCGCGGCTGCGTCCGCCAAGGCCTGGGCATGGGATCTCGTCATGCGGGGCTCCTCAGCCCTCCGTGCACCAGGGACGTGTCCCTCGGAGTGAGACTCAGAGGTCGGAACGTCGGCGATGTTGGTGGTCCCGTTGCGAGCCATCTTCTCTCTCGTTCTCGGTGAGTGTTGCGGAAGC